TGTGTGTGTGTGTGTGTGTGTGTGTGCACGCACCAAAAAACCTGACGGAACAGAAATGGAGGAATAAGGATTGAAGCATGACAATGCTCACCTCTCTCTCTCTCTCTTTACAGGGAGCACACATGCCCTTTGGCAATGACAAAAACAAAAAAAGTTTGCCCAATGTCAAGTTGGAAATCTCTAAGGTTTGCAAATCAATCTATATATAGCTCTTCTTAGGAAACATGCTTTCTGTAATTTATCTGCTGAGTCCTCACTTATTTCTTTTAGGTTTGACTCTAGTAAAAAGAATATAATATATGAAATAAAAATATGTAGAATTTATAAATGTATAAAATATATTCTATTGTTAGACAAAATATGTTACATAATAATATATATACATATTTACATAGTTGCTAATCTAGAATTTGAGTTTCTGCCTTTTAGTGACTAACTGGAATCATTCATTGATTTCCGATCACTTTAAGACTCATTTCTAATGCCCTACCTGTGCTTGTCAGTCAAAATTTATCTTTTCTTGTCTAATTCTCTGTATTTGGTTTTAAATGGATTAAACTGCTCATATTCATTTTCCTTAGATATTTATTTAGGATTTTATTTACTCTTCTTATTAAATAGCAAATTTACTAATATATATGTAACATGTTTCTTTGTCTAATTTTTGAATTAAATCATTGTCTCATTTCAAATCACACAAATTGCTTGTCATGTTTTAAAGTCCCTTTGTATCAGCCACCCTTTCACCATATACATTATACAAGTGGGAAGGTTTTTCTCTATGAACCAACTTTATTGAGGCATAACTTCTATACAACAAAATTTATAGATGTTGAGTGTGACATTGATGTTATGTAGAATTTTAACATTATTTTGTTTTAAACTACAAAACAGTAAATTTATTACATTTATACTCAACCAATACTTACAAATTTTCAGCATATTTAGTATTGCATTTGCTGTGCATCACTCCTTCCACTTTAATCATTTACTCTTTTTTAAAAAAAGAATTATTTACTTAATTTTATTTGCTATTATTATTATTTTTTAATTTGAGCAGACAGAGACATACACACACAGAGAGAAAGGGAAGGTGAGAAAGCAAGCCACCAGGTTTAGGACTCAAAGTACAGTTGACCATGTGGGAGTCCAACACCTTAACAATCACATCACCTGCTAGTCCTGACAAACATTTTAAGATGATATACATCAATATTTAAGGAGGGGACCAGTAGGTGTCGTGTGGTTAAGGCACTGGACATTCCCACATGGTTGACCACAGTTTGAGCCCTGGACCTGGTGTCTTACTTTCTCACTTTCCTTCTCTATGTGTGTCTGTCTTTCTCTGGTCAAATTAAAATAAATGAATGAATAAATAAAATTAATAAACAATTCTAAAAAACATTTTAAAAAAATTAAGGAAAGATATTAGAAATAACAATAGGAAGGACCAGCAGTTAGTGTAATGGCTATGTCATTGGGTATGTCATCGACTCCCAAGTAGTCGACTGCTGTTCAAGTCCCGGACCTGGTGGCTTAAACTCACACCAGGCACGTGTGTGTGCGTGCCCAAAATCCCAAGAGGAGAATGGGAGAGAAGGGATGGCAGCGTGGCCATCCCCCCTGGGGAGTTATTTCTTTCTTTATGCCTCTCTGTCTCTCTCTGTCTTTCTGGCAAGCGCACACTCCCTATAGCAAAAGTCTCTCGAAAAAAATAGGAAATAATAGTTAATAAGATATAACTAGGAACATGAGTGGTGTTTAAAATGAAGTACCAAAATACTGAATCAAAAATTTAAAAAAGTATGCAATGGAATACTACTGAGCTATAAAGAACGATGATATCATGTCATTTGACACAAAGTGAATGAATCTGGAAAATATAGTAATAAAAGAAATAAACCAGGCTATGAATGGCAACTATCTTCCCACTTAACATATACTAATTGTCTGTACTCTGTGGTGAAAATGGAAGGTTTTAATGGCATAGAAGTAGAGAAAGTAATAGTAGATACCAGATGGTAGGTGAGGGGTGGGGGAATTGTTTGGTGGGGAGATTTAGGAGAAAATTATTAACAGGTACAAGAATGTATGTAAGCATTGTAATAAGTTATAGGACAGTGTACCACAGCAGATTAAAAATATGGTGACAATTAAATTTATACATTCAAAAAAAAAAAAATGGTGACAATTAAACTTATACATTCAAAAAAAAAAAAACCTAGTAGATGTATTACCAAATGTATACAACATAATGTAATGCTCAATGTCAAATAAATGACTATGCTTAAATCTTTGATTTATTGCATACTATATGCATGTTTTGAAAAACTGTACTATACCCCAAAAAGATATTCAACAATTATATATGTAAATCAGAAATCACAACAAACATTTTTCTACGTGGAAAATATACTGAATCAATATACAGTAATAATTTTAAATATTTCATAAGCTGATAACCCAAGCAGAATTAGTAAGTATAATGAAAATGTGAGTAACATAATGAACAAGTTTAATCTAATAGATGAATGCAGGGTTCTTCAGCAACAGAGAACACAAAAATCATTTCATAGAAAGGGTTAATTTATGCAAACATAAACCTTATACTGGGTTTATTCTCAATAAGTGTTAAAGAATAGCTTTTATACAAAATACATTCTCCTACCACTACAATTTAAGAATACCTTGATAAAATAATCATAGTAATAATAGTTAATAATGATATCCTATTAAGTTTAGAAAGTAAATTGCTCTCTAATTCAATCATAGGTTAAAGAAATGTTGGATGTATCATTCCAAATTTTCAACTAAGCAAAACAAAATCACTACTGAAATTAAGTTTTAATATTTCAGTCAAGGGCCTGGCAGGCGATGTGGTGGTTAAGGTGCTGGACTCCCACATGGGCAACTGTGGTTAGTGTACTGGACCTGATAGCTTGTTTTCTCACTTTCACTTTCTCTCTCTCAGATCAAATTAAAAAGTAATAATAACAAATGAATTAAACAAATAAATAATACTTTAAAAAGAAGAAAATATTGGGACCAGCAGTTAGACTAATGGCTGTTACTGGACTCCCATGTAGTCGACCGTGGTTCAAGTCGCTGACCTGGTGGCTTAAACCCACGCCTGGTGCATGTGCATGCATGCCCAAGTTCCCGAGAGAAGAATGGAGGAGAAGGGATTGTGGTGTGGCCATAC